CAATTCCACTTCCAATCCTAACCAATTCCAACCAATTCCAATTCCAATTCTAATCAATTCCAACCAATTCTAGAATTGGAACCGAACCGAATTGGAATTGGTGCATGCCTACACTAAATCAATATGATTATAAATAGAAAATAATCCTTGAAAAGAATAATATTTTTCCAATCACGACAAATATTTTCGAAACTTTGCACAAAAATATTGTAGTCATTATAATGAATATGACTCCGTATAATTCAACATAATATGTTATGGTAAATTGGAAGAGTAAATATTATCGTTTCTTTCAATATAGATACTGATTCAGAGCTGAACAAGTACGGATTTTTTTTAAGTATGAGTACTAACTCTCTGAGACTTAAATAAGAATTTGTAAAGTGATTACTAAGGAAAATACGTCATATTTTGGTAAAAAAAACAAAATATTCACAACTTTTTTCAAACTAATTGTATTATGAAAAGTCCACGAATTTTTAGTACAACGTTGGAAATTAGAGAGTCATAGGAATTTTTAATAAAATATACTTCATTTAGAATCTTATGTATTTTACTCTCGAATGTTTTGCACACCTCCGTACTGATCCTTTGTCTTCATTATTACAGGTATATGTGTATGAAAGACAATGAACAATAATCTCAATGAATAGATATCATAATATAGAAAAGAAATATAAATAATAGAAGAAAAAGTTAATTAAATTGCAACATACTGATGTTGCGATCATGGCATAAATTAACATATGAAATACTAGATTAACTCAGTTGGAAATTGTCGTTCAATTCTTGACAACAAAATTCTCTAAAAAAATTTTTGATTCTAGTATTATAAATTTATCATTACATAAGTATAAACAATAAAACTAAGTTTCATTGATGTTAAAAGTTAAATGTATTTGAAAGACTTCATACAACAATAGAAGATTTTATGAAACCATTTCTAACTAGCTCATAAACTCATTATAAACTGATTTATAATATATGTTTCCAGGGTAAAAATCAATATTGATGTAATATATTTATAAATCACAGATGTGTCAGCTTATATATTATTAATAATGATAAGAGGTATTGTAAAGTAATAATAAATTGATTACATGCATAGCTAGCGTACTCGAAAATTAATGACATTTATTATATGGAAAAGTAATTCACATGCTCATATCATACTATTTTTAGATAATTGTATCTATGATCATGTTGCTTCAGTCATACTTTAACATAAAATGTTGATATAATAGTCTGAAAAAGAGTTTATTATTACATAATTATTAAAACTGTTATACATACTAACATTATGAACGTGACATAGAACAATTGTATCGTTCATATGAAACATAAGACTTTCGATGCTGACAGTATTCTCAATATTTAAACATATCAGATGTCATAAAACGTTTTCTTTTTATGTTCAGAGACGATATCTATAGGATACAGATTAACTTGATATTCTTATATTCTTACCATTAACTGATTTTCTGTCTCCAGTTGATTCATCTGTAACAATAACATATTGAGTTGATGATAAATTATACATATTTTGAATTTCTCCAATTTGATCGTATGGTTTTGGACAATATAATTGTGGACCACATTCAACTGATTTTGCTCCTGTTAATGCATCCGTAATGACAACATATTGTGTCGCTGATAAATTTAGCATTGATCTTATTTCACTAACTTGATCATAAGGATTACTAATATGATATATCTGTGGTCCACGAATAACTTCAATTAATTGCATATCAGGATCATTTAATAGTTCATCTTTTTCATTTGTAGTTGTCCTTTTTGTTAATGACATTTCATTTGATCTTGCAGATTTACCTTTGTTCTTGGGAAGAATTACATGTTTAACAACGATATATTGATTACTTTGTAATGGTATCGATTTGAAAACTTGTAATTTCCACCAAGTTGGATAACAAATCCAACCAGGACCTTGACGAACTTCTTTACCTGTTGGTTTACTGAATACTATTGATTCATCACGATCAAGAGCGATAATACAACCCATGTTATTCTAAAAAGGAAATCAATATTTCATGTTACGATAGAAAGGATCTTACAAAAAAAAA